CTGTGCAGTTTAGGCTATCCTTGACCTCACTTTGCAGCCCAGGCTGGCCTGGAACTCGCAGCAGTCCTCCTGCCTCAGCATCCTGAGTGCTGGGATTACAGGCGTGCACCACCACACCTGGCCATGTTACCATCTTTAATGTTTTAGTCTTAACAAGGAATGTTTTTACATTTACTTAGGTTGTCATTCACTTCTTTAATATTTTGTTTTTGGATGTCTGCTTCCCTTAAGTTCTGCCAGGTTTTTATAGTATTTGGACATAAAGAAATTTACATTTTTATGCCTTCTTGATACATTTACTTGTATCATTCAAAAATGTTTTTCTCTGTGTGTAGTATATTTTGGCTTGAATCTTATTTTACATAATATTAAATGGCAGGCATAAGCATTCTTTTGGGTAACATTTAAATGATATATCTTTCTTTATACTTTTATTTCCAAGTTTATATTTTCAAGTTCACCTTTTATATCCATTATATAGTTGGGTTTTGATTTTTTATTTAGTCTAATAATGTATTAGACCCTTTATACTTAGCATGTTCATTGGAATAATTAGATTTAAGAATGTCAGGTTACTTTTCATTTTTTCATTTTCTTTCATATTTCTGTATGCTTCTGTTCCTGTCATTTGTATATGAACCTTTTTAGTATTTCATCTTTTTTTTTTTATCTAGATCCCTGTAAATCTTTTGTTTTGCCTTTTTCTAGGGACTGTAATACATACCTTACTTTATCATATTCTACCTGAAGTTACTATTGAAATCAGGAATAAAGTACAGGGCCAGGGATATAGCTCAGCAGCTTAAGCGCTTGCCTGACAAGCCTGAGGTCTTGAGTTCAATTCCTGGTACCAAAAATAGGGAAGAAAATATAGCATTCTTATAATTCCATTTACGCTCTTTCTATCTTTCTGCTATTATTTTCATATGTTTTGCATTTATATACGGTATAAACAGAAAGTATAGTGCTGCAATTCTTGCCTTAAGTGATTTTTTTTTTTAATTAAGAGGGAAAAAGGAAGAGCATACTAATGAATAAGATCTGAATTCATAATTGACCAGTTACTTGCTGATACCTCCAAGAAAAATTAAGAGGTCTCATAAGTATGCCTATTCTGATGTTTCTCAGACAGGAAAACTACCTGAGATTTGGGAGGTTCTCAGCTTCTGACCAATCTAAAAATATTGTACCTGACTGGTTTCCAGATGAGATGAGCACTCCTTGAATCCTCCACAGACTTCTGTTCTTTTTAGAAGTAATCCAATTAAAAGAATGGAGCCTGAGGGAACCCATGAAACTCTAAAATTAACTAACATATTTTTTATCACCGAGTTGTTTATTCTTTACCATTACCTAGGTCAAATTAATTTAGGAGAAATTCACGACTGATGTGAATAGCTCCAGAAGGAAAAATAAACCAAGCTCACCTTTTCATCATTATAATTTACATTAGAAATATGTGTGAGAAAAATAAAGAATGGAAACGGTACTGCAGTGCATTAGTGTGGGAATGGATAAACTGGCTTATTTATATAGTAAATGATGGTTAAATAGTTAAATCAAATGACCTGGCAACACAGATTTCAACAAAATCGATAAAAAAACATGAATTGCAAAATAAACAGTTAAAATTGCAAAATAAACAATGTGAATTGCACAATAAAATATATAATAAATTAGTATAAAATATTATGTTATATTTTGAGATTATATATTTCAAAATAAGCTATAAGGCGTGAAATTATATAAAGTAGAACACCATAAATGTAGGTCTTTAAATACTCAGTAATACATGTATGGATATATCATAGCTATAGGTGGATAATAGAAGTTTTAAAATATAGAAGTAGTACCCATCAAACACAAGATAATGGTGTCTTTAAAAGGTAGGACAAAGGGTTTGTAGTTAGCCTGTAGCTATGTCATTAATATTTGGTTTGTGAATGAGAGACAAATCTGAAGTAAATATGGCAAAAAATTTAAAATCTGAAATGATTGGTGGGCACATTATTAAGTATCTCTTTAAAGCATACTGTATTTTTGAGCTTTTAAATTTTTTCAATTAAATTTAAAAATAATGTTTTCATGTAGGAAACTAGCCTGCTAGGAGTGCCTATTCAGAGGGTGCGAGTGGAGATTAAAGACAACACAGATAACTTTGAGAAAGGGGGGCGGGGAACTCTTGCCTGTAGTAGACAGAGACCCCTGATTATGTGGCCCCATTGCTTTTATTTGTTTAGACACAGGAGCAAGCGGTTAGGGTGGCGGGAGATTCATCTGCCTCCTGTTATGCATAGTACGTGCCCAGGTAAACAACGTATCAGTTGTGCTGATTCTCCCTGGAGCTTGCAACGCGTCGGCACGCCTGCCTGCTGCCAAGGGAGCACAGCTTGCTATTTTTCTCCTTTGTGCTCACAGAGCAGGTCAGTTAGGCCTCCATCCTCATTATCTGGTCTCCTACGTTTTCAAAAATTCGTACTATAAAGAATTATTACTCTACACTGTGATGTTCCTCAAAGAAAGAAATTTATTTTTCAAGTAAAACTGATTTTTTTCCCCCTCAATGCTTATGATTATAGATGCCAGCCTGTTACTGTGCTCCAGGCCACTATCACTCCAGTCAACCTCAGTTCCGCCCTATCCCTTCTGTCCATTACAGTTCACATCTAAACCAACCACTGCCACAGCCTACGCAGCAAACAGGTGAGTTACATTTCTGATGTCATGCGTTGTTAGCTCTTATTACTGCTTTTTTGTCTTATTTCGTTGTTAACATTAAGATCCTACCATACTAAGAATCCCAACTCCCTGCACTTATATAGGTATGCAAAAAGAGTGGACAAATCTTAGAATCCTCCAGAAAGCACCACCCTGTCCGGTCTGTATGCTAAGGGAGCAGAAGCCACAATGGGCAGATTCTGCCAGGCCAGGAGTCGGGTGAGCAGCTGCGCAGTCCTCACTGCCGTGGTAGTGAGACCCCTGTTTGCAGCCTGATAAACCCATGCAGAGTGGTAACAGAGAGAGAGATAGGGAAAGATTCAGTGCTCTTTTCCTTTTACCTCTTTGCAAATTTTCTTCAAACACTGAGTGAAAACAAGTGATCTCTGTGTAAAGAAAAACGGTTACTAATTTTAATGATCTCATTTCTCTACGCTTTCCATCTGCATGTGTACTTGTAGCCCAGTTGTTGAATAAGATATTCATCCAGGCTTTCACAATGCTGTAGTTGAAGAAAAATTTTACAGTTGATTGCTTTAGTGCATTTTTAGCTGCTTGTCATTTTTGGACTGTTATACTGTGTGGATGTGACCCATGGAGACATCTTCATCTCTACCTCCACCAAGGCAGTTTGCTGCTTTTGATAATGGGCATATCTCCAAAGGTTACCTCCACGTCAGGTAACCTCTGCTGTGACCCATCTGATGAGAAGTGCTCTGCTTCTCTGCACTGGTGGGAGATGGTGGGGTGTCCCACAGTCACTGTGACTTATCAACTTCCTTTACCAGATGAGAGTCCCACTCCGGACAAACCTGTAGGGAAACTGCATTTCTGTTGCCTCTGGGAGTTGTCTTGTGCTTAGTATACCAGTTCTCCCTTTTGTGTGTTATGAGCCCTGTATTATATGTGTGACAAATGTTCATCCTAGGGATGTTGAGTACAAACATAGGCCACTGTGACCAAGTTAGAATTTATCTTTAGTCTCAGTATGACTCTTTTGAGGTTTACCTGATGTTTAATAGATATAGCCCATGTCAAATAATATAGTGTATGTTCTGATTTTAAAAGACATACCCCCCTCCCGCCCCCGGTGATATAGCTCAGCGGCACAAGCGCCTGCCTGGCAAGCGCAAGGTCCTGAGTTCAATTCTTGGTAACAAAAATAAATAAATAAATAAATAAAATACAGGACATCGAAAGTTGTTCTTTATAGTTTAGTTTGGTTTGGTTTTTTGAAACACGGTCTCAAATGTAGTTTAGGCTGGCCATGAACACTATTTAGCCAAGGCTGGCCTCGAACTTGCAGGAGGATGCAGTGATCCTCCTGCCTCAGTCTCCTGATTACAATCAAGTCTCCTTGATTACAGACCTGAGCCACCACCCCCCCAGCTAAAAGTTATTCTTATATGCATGGGAACTGTAGTTGTGGCACTGCCCATTAGCTTTGTATGCATCTATTTTATCCTAACAGAAGTAATTTTCTGAGTTTTCCTGGGCTGCAAATATTAACATTTCATATTTATTGTATCAGAATTTTTTTCTTCCAAAATTTTAACACAGGTTATAGTTGATACCATACATGATCGTTAATAAAAGAAATTTATCTTCATACCACTCTTTTAGATACCTTCCGTGTGACTATTAGTTCATTATTATACCCTATAATGAGACAGGAAAAATCCTTTCTTCTGTATTTGTGTGAGCTTTTTAGTTTTCTTCTTTTCCATGACAAAATCTGTATTCCTTTCCATGATCGGAGCGCCTGCAAATAAAAACTTTTAATCACCAGTAAGGACTGATATAGACCAAAAGTAGTAGTAGTAGTAATAATAATAATAATAATAATAATAATCCCATTGAATGGAAAACAATTTTAAAAATGTCTACTTCAGGCCAAAATATCTGCTTGAAATGTAGCATGTGTTTGCCATCAGTGATATTTGTAACTGTGAAGCTTTCGCACAGGTTAGTTATGAAGATAGGGAAAGAAACTAAGCCAGATTGCATCTGAATGATACAGACACGAAGAGAATCATATCTTTGAATAGTTTTCACATTATGTTTGACTCTTTAAGAGTCAGTTACAAGCTGGGCATGGGGGTGCATGTAATCTCAGCACTGAGGGAGGAGGCTGAGACAGGAGGATTGCCTCGAGTTTGAGGCCAGCCTGGGCTACATAGTAAGTTCAAAACCATCCTGAGCTATGTAGCAAGGCCCTGTCGTTCCCCACCCCCCACCAAAAAAAAATCAAAAGGAAGAAAAAGAATCATTTATAACTAGGGTTTGTCCTCTGAGTTATTTTACACAGTATTCTCTTTTACAATTTAAATGAGTTGTGTGTCATTCATACAAAAAGAGAAGTAAAAGAGAAGTAAATCCCCAAAGCCTTCTCACCTGAAAGGGAAAATTTCTCTTTAAATCAAAAGTCAGTGGTGCCAGTACCAGCTATTGTGCTGGTGATTATATTGAACCTTTTTATAGAACTAGTAAGAACTTGAACTCTTTTTTTTTTTAAGTTATAATCTAAAGAATTTTATAGTTAGCTAATGGTTATTTTTTATATCAAGCTACAAAGTTTGTGCCCTCAAAGAAAAGCGCAAAGCTGGAGGAAGTAAGGCAGATTTCTGTTTCTGATTTTGAGATGGGTAACAGATTGAGGTACATTTTTGTCCCAGCAGTTTACTTTTTCATATGTAAGCATAATACTTTGTGTTTCCTTTTTGGATTTTTTTCCTTATATTGCTCTATATCCCAGGACCTTACTCTGATTAAAATGAAAAGTTGATTATATACCTTACATTTTGTTTTTTGCCAAACAACAGTTGTATACCCTACCAAGTATCAAGAAGCATTTTTTTTTTAATTACATAAAAAAGTGAAGCGTTTTACTTGACCAAATAATGAAAACATTGGCAGATTTGGAACAAATTTTCTTTACGGTGGCACAAATAATATTTTTTTTCCTCAAATCAGATTTTATTGGTACATTTTAGATATACATTATGATCACATTCATCATAGAGAATTTGCACCTGTGCTATAGCTTGTTTCGTTTTTCCCATTTCCTCTCCCCTCTCTTAAAACCCTCCTTCCCTCCCCATTTACAAAAGCTTAGTTTCCACGTTTTCCTTTTCTCATTTTTTTTACTTTTGAGTTCTCCCCCTCCTTCATTCCCCTCTCCATTTGAACATTTTCTTCCTATTTCACAATGCCTGTTATACATTCACAAATAATATTTAAATGTTCATATACGAATTAAAAACATCCTGCTGTAAGTTAACAAAGCCGACGAAGTGCAGCTATTCTTAGACCAGGAGGGTGTAGGAAAGAGGAGGACACCAGGATTTTCTGCTGCTTGCCCTTGTGAGGATAGAGAAAAGGTCGGAAACATTTCTCAGTGATAGAACGCTTTGGTCCTGTGTGGATGTACGTGCCAGTAGACCGCAGCTGTATTGGTCTCCTTGACAATAAACCTCTTACCTGTTAAGAAACTGAAATACATAGTATTAACATTACTGCTGGAAAGTGAATATACTACTCTTCTGTTATAAATGCAAAACTACCGACTATAGTCATTTAAAAAGATTGAGTCAAGCATCCCATTCATTTGGGAACCCTCCTGTCTCTCAGGAGCTATTCTTACTCCCCATTCCTGTTCTCCAATAAATTTTCCTACTTAACCTCCATAAATAAATAAATAAGATTGAGTTAACCCCTCCTGACAAAAACTGAAGAAATTCTTACTACATAAATACTTTTTGGACAGTGGTTTGTATAATGTTAAAAAACAGCAAAGTATAAATCAAAATCCTGATGTTGCTTAGGGAATTTTTTGTTTTGTTTTTGACTAGTATTAGTCATACCACTTAAGGGCTCTCGATTTCCATTTACTCCCTTTCCAAGTAAAAGAGTTTTATTGTATTGTCTGTGACACCTCTGTGTACTCTAAAATTCCATGAGTCTGTGTCTCCTGTAAATCATTCCTATTTTTAAAAGGTGAATATTTGAGAATTGGTTTACAGTAGCTTAGCAACTTACAGTCAATAACTGGAGTCACGTGAACAACTATTTAAAATGATCTGTTACTTGCCAATTGCAGTAATAGAGATTTATTATCTTTATCATAAAATATACAGCTTGAGTCCTGTGCAGTATACCACATACAAAGAGTTTTGTATACTATAAAGAAGCTTCTATAAGTAGTAATCAAACACAAGATTTCAGGTTTATGAAACCCTGGCTCTTTTATAGGTAGCTGCTTTTATTCTGTGACTCTTGCAAAGTTTGCTGCTTCACTACACATGTTTAATACTTTGCAATAATTGGCCTTGTTCCTGAGCTGTTGGATTCGGGGCCGTAGCACTGTCTGAGAGGTTTACATTTCTCACAGTGAACCGGTCTCTTTTTCAGCTGCTTCCTGGCTTCTTTTTACTCAGGTTTCCACTGCTTTTTTGCTTTTTATTTCATTTTTTTTTAATGCTGTATTAAAGTACTAACATTTGTTTATATTATTCGGTAATTGTAATTGCCTTCTAATCATGCATCATACTCAGAAATAAAGACTTTGATTAAAATGACAATCTTGGCTTAACATAATTTGCCTTGTGTAGAGATACTTGAAGGGAATTGCTCAAATTTCTTTTCTAAAGCAGATTTGGAGGGCAGATTGTGTTTCATTTGGAATTCATCTAAAAAATTGAGTGTGTTAAGCATGCCATACTCATTAGCAGAAGTCATTTATATCCCCCTGTTGATATACAACTTTTTAGGAACATTATTATTCATTAAAGCATGCCATCAAAAGGGCCTAAGACACCTAAATGCACTTCAAGCTGCTTGAGATCCTACCAAGGGTATAATTCCATTTTTTTTCCAGACACTATTCTTATTGCATGTCTGCGAAATACAAAATAATTATGTGAAACTATAGATAACTTTAGCTTTGGAACCATTTGAAAAATTCAGAGAATATCAGTTACGGCCTA